CCGGCTCTGTGGAACGAGTTACCAGTAGAGATCCGGACCCTCCCCACCCTTGCGGCCTTCCAAAAAGCCACTAAAATCTGACTGTTCCGGCAGGCCTGGGGTTGCTGACTCAAATCAGTTTCAACCCCCGATTAAACCGGATGTATGTTGTGTTTTTAAACTCCTTGTATTGTTTGTATTCTCCCCCTGTGTGTTATTTTATTTCATTCATATTTGTAAGACGCCCTGAGTCCCCCGGGATTGGGCGGCATATAAACCCATTAAATTGCGAATTGCGAATGCTATCAACCGCTTCTCTGCCCGGTCGCTGGGTGGGTGTGGTCATGGTGGGTGTGACCTATTCAGCCTGCTACACCACAGGGGGGAGGGTTTCACCCTCCCCAGGCTCCAGAGGCTTTCCCTGAGCCTCCAGAAGGGGAAAACGGCTTCCCCCGGGGCCCAGAGGCCCTCCAGAGGGGCTGGAAACGGGTCCATTTCCAGATTTCCGAAAAGCCCTTTATTTCGCCCTCCCATAGCAGGCCCTGCCCTTACTTGGCATGATGAATGTGCCATGTGGATAACTTGATGTGTCTGTCTGTCTGTCTCTGTGTTTGGACACAGATTTTTGGAATATTGAAGGCCCCATTTAAAGAGAAGGATGGAGAGGGAGCCATGTTGAGATTGGAGGACTTGGGAGACCAGAGATACGCCCCCTACAAGTACATGCTAAGACTTTGCTACAGAATCCTCCGTCATTCCCAGCAGGATTACCGGAAAAACCAGGTTGGTCTTATGCTACCAATAGAATACAAGATTTGTAGCTCAGGGTTTTGGCATGAGAGGCCCCTGGTGCTCTCCGAGCTTGGTGGTTTTCTCGCAGACGTTTCATAGCACAACTAGGCAAGATCATCAGTGCTAGAAAGGGATGTAGTTTTGTTAGAATATTCATGGCTGGGAGAGACATGGGAACAAGGTCGGCCAATGAATAGGCATAGCAACTAAGCCAGCCAATGGGAGCTTCAACAGATCTGTGCTGAGAATTGGAACTGAAACAAGACTGATCTCTGTCTGCTCTGCACTGAAAACTCCTCCCTGCTGTACGTCCACCTGCGTTTGCTTGTAGCTACTACTACGTTGGAGAAAACCTATAATGTTATTGTACGTTTATCTTCATGTGCTAATATGTATATAGAGAAGTTAATGAATCCAGCTGAATCAGTTATCTTTGTGTGCTTTCTGGAAGGATTTTCTGCAACAAACTCTGACAAGTTTGCAGAGAGGAGGATTAGGATTATGGGGTTCTTGGTGTTCTCTGAGCTTAGTGGGTTTCATGCAGATATTTCATGGCCCACCTAGATAAGATCATCAGAAGGGGGTGGGATTTGCAGAGAGGAAGAGAAGGAAGAGAAGGAGGACTGTGGAGTCCTTGGTGCTCTCCGAGTTTGGGGGTGTGTGCAGATATTTCATGTTCTAACTTGGTAACATCATCTACAAGGGAGTGTAGGGTTTACTCCCTTCTTATGTGCAGTTGCTTGCTCTGACAGTGTTGGCAGAAGAGTGTTTTCCTGCTTGGTAGTTCCTTGATTAAGATATTGTTTTCCGCTGGATTGTTTGTCTGGTGTTAATCCATGCTTATCTGGGTTTCTCTTTCTGGCAACTCCTTGTTGCCAGCAGGGACAGAATATGGAATCAATGTGGAACTTGGGGAAGTAATAGGGAGTGTTCCTGTTTTAAACAGACCGTCCTGGGGTTTTCTTCCAGGAATACATTGCTACCAATTTCTGCATCATGCAGTCTCAAATTGGCTATGATATCTTGGCGGAAGATACCATCACAGCTTTGTTGCACAACAACCGGAAGCTGCTGGAGAAACATATCACAGCTAAAGAGATCGAGACCTTTGTGAGTTTACTCAGGAGGAATCGAGAGCCCAGGTTTGAAGCAACTCACATAATTCATCTCATTTGTTATCTTTTTAGCTGTGGGTATTTGCTATAAAATTGTGCTAATTTCAAGAGCAGCTCCTGATTTTAGAAAACTAGCATTTCTCTCACCATGATTCTGTATCTCTCTTCTATCTATCTATCTATCTATCTATCTATCTATCTATCTATCTATCTATCTATCTATCTATCTATCTATCTATCTATCTATCTATCTA